TCGCTACCCTACTCTCCATCTCTGGTTTATCTGTCTAGGGCAACCAGCGTCCTCCTCATCTATACGCACCAAAGAAACATCTTTGGTTGGAAGAGAAGGAGGAAAAAAACAAAAAAAGGGAGAGAGAGGAAAAACTTGCCTGGTAGTGGAAAATGACACTTGAAATAGCAAAGCCGGCAGCGCGAGTTGAGTCTATTGTTTCTTAAATTGCCATCAGGGTTTTTTGTTTGTTTGTTTCTTCCTGCTTCTTCAAGTGAACGGTACCTCTACAAAAGGAAACGCCAGTCCCTCCTGTCTTCCACCGGCCTGTGACCATTACAAAAAGAAAAAGGAAAAAAAAAAAAAAGCACCCACACCAAAAATTAACCAACCAAACAATCCCCAACAGCCAAGCATACATCTCTGTTTTTTAAATTTTGGTCTTTTTGTTGGATTTTCCCTTCCTTTTTTCTCACCTTTTTTTTTTTTCCTTCGGGTTATCTCTCAGTTTTGAGCGAAGGTTTACATTTTTTAAAAATTTGCTTTCCAGCCCCCCTTGATCTTCTAGCACGAGTTCAACGACTCAGAAAAAAAAAATCTCTGGCTGGCGTTTTTCTTTCCTTTTTTTTTTTTTTTTTTTTTCCCCAAGTTTTCAAGGGGGAGGAGATTTTCCACAAGAAAAGGTTGTTGTCATGTTTGGGATTCAGGAAAGCATCGAACGGAGTGGAAGCAGCATGAAGGAAGAGCCGCTGGGCAGCGGCAGGAGCGCGGTGCGGACGTGGATGCAGGGCGCCGGGGTGCTGGACGCCAACACGGCGGCGCAGAGGTGAGTACCGCTCGGGGACCGCGGCCGGGGAGGCAAGCGGCGAGCAGCAGAGCCCGGAGGTGGTAGCGGAAGCCGCCGCCCCGGGGCCGGGCCGCGCTCGTGCGTCTGCCGCTCGGCTCTGCTCGTCTCCGGGGCTCCGCGCCCCGCGGCCGCTCTGTCTTGGTTGCCCGCGGCCGCAGAGCCAGGAGCTGCCTGCGAGGAGCCCGCGCTTTACCGGCACTTTTCCCTGCCTGGTCTGTGACTGTTTTCATTTTGTTTTAAGCCTGAAGAGGCATCTCACCAGTATGATGTTGGATATCTGTGTTTTTCTGTGATTGCTGTTTCTTTTCAGGCCGCCTGTCTTTTCTTTCTTTCCTTCCTTTCCTATTTTTTTCTGTCCTTTCTTTTTCTTTCTTTCTTTCTTTCTTTCCTTTTCCTTCCTTCCCTCCCTTACTTCCTTTTTTCCGCCTTCTCCTTCCCTCTTCTTTTTCCTTCCTTTTCTTTCTTCACTCTTTCTCTTTCCTCTTTTTCCCTCTCTCAACTCCTTTTTCTCCCCTTTTCTCTTTCCATGTCCCCCTAGAATCATCTCTTATTTCTCCTCTCTGGTTCTCCCTCCCTCTCCCTTTAGCTTTCAGTTTTTCTTGGTCCACCCGAAGAACAGCAACTCCTAACTTTAATTCTGATGTCTCCTAAAAGTCTTCCCTACCGTCTAGGACCATGGCCCTTTCTAGCCCCCTCTGCCACTCTCAGCTCCTGGATGCTAGGCTGTATGGCCTAGAGGCACTGCTTTTGGAGATGGACCTGGGGGAACTTTCCTGGGCACCCTCAGTACCCTTTCTGGGGACTGCTGGTCCCAAGTGAGAAATGGTCCCCCCCTTTTTTTTAGGCCACCAGCTGGGCTTGGGGGAATGGGAGATCTGGTGGCTCCGCGCTCTCTCCGACCCAGAGAGGGCGGAAGGGGAAGAATGAAGATGACTAACTACATCACCCTCATCTTCTCCGGGCTGGGGACAAGTGTCCACAACACTGTTCCCATCCCCGATGATAATAAGGGTGGGGGTGGTTGGTAGTGAGAGTGAGTTTGGTAACTGGGCTAGAAACGAAAGGGTGTGTGTGTGTGTGTGTGTGTGTGTGTGTGTGTGTGTGTGCGCGCGCGCCCTTGCCTTGGCCAGGTCGGGGTGTCAGTGGCCGCCTTGTGCCCCCGGCGCCCCAGGCTCCAGCCCCCGGGAGGGCGCCCTCAACCGTCAGCCCTTATCCATAGGATTTCTGGAAAGGGTGTGAGGATTTCTGCGGAACAGCGAACCTTTGTCAGGACAGGTCTCTTTTAAAAATCCCCAATTCCCTTTCCCACAGCAACCACTCCTGACTGCTCTGAGTTCCACCTGCAGATCCTTTTTCTCCACATGCTTTATTTGGGCGGGGGGAAACAGATGGCTCCCCGAGGCCGGGCACCCGCGGCTGGGCAGGGGCGGCAGGGGCGCATGAGGTTTCCCGGAGGATGGCTGCTGCAGCGAGCAGCTGAGCATGCTCCCCATCCATTCTCACCTGCGCAAGGGAGATTCGAGGGGTTGTCGAGAACCAACTTCCACGCCCACCCTCCCCCTAACTTGTAATCCACCGGCTTTGTTCCACGATCGCGCGTCCCCTCATCCACCGCTACTTTTCTTCCTCCCCACGCACCGCGCGTCAGGTCGGAGTAAACGCGTACAGCGTTTTGTCTCTTGCGCAAAACCCGAACAAAACTTTCACACCTCTTCGTCGGGCTCGGGGGGAGCGCAGGTCCTCGGCGGGGAGGACTGACCAGGCGACAGCACGCATGTCCCGTCGCCGGCTGGGCCCGGGGCGCCTGAGGGGGCGTGTAGGGGGCCCACGGGGGCGTTTTGGGGGCAGAGGAGGCGGGTGTTTGAGGGTTCGCGCGTGTGTAAGGGGTGACAAGGGGTCGCGGGTGTTGTCCCGCTGAGCCGTCTAACTCTGCGTCTTTGGCCACAGCGGGGTGGGTCTGGCCCGGGCTCACTTTCAGAAGCAGCCGCCTTCCAATCTGCGGAAATCCAACTTCTTACGCTTCGTCCTGGCCCTCTACGACAGACAGGGCCAGCCCGCGGAGATCGGGGGGACAGCCTTTGCGGGGTTCGTGGAAAAGGAAAAAGTAAGTGGGCGCAGCGCCGTGCCCCTCGCCCCCGGCCGGGGAGCAGGCCCAGGCGCCTCGGGAGGCGCGCTCCCCCGCGAGGGCGAAGCATCCGTAACACGCCCCGCGCGGGGTCCCCCAAGCCGCTTCCCGTTCCGGGCGAACGCGGGCTCCTCGTTCCTGAGGTTCTGCCCCAGAAAAGTTCGTGCTGAGTCCCGAAAGATGGGGAGAGGCGAGCCCGGCTTCGCACTCCAGAGTCAAGGGCGCCGGGACGAACCCGCCCTCGACCGCGCGACCACGCGCGGTTCCTGCCTCAGCTGCCGCGGGCTCGAGCCCCCAGGCCCTAGGAACGGGATCGCCCGTGCGCGCCCCACCGAATTTTTTGGAAAGTTGGAGCAGTAAGGGTCGGGAGGGCGGCAGAGGGATCCCAGTTGGCCGCAATTTCTGCTGCTCCCGGGCCTGTCCGGCTCCCAGGCCAGGGGTCCCCGCTTGGGGACAGTTGCCTCGAAGTCGGTCCACTAGCTCACGCCGACCTCCCTCCCGCGTCTCTTGTGCCTTTGCGGCCTGCTGCGACCCAGGACGACAGCAGGGAGCAAAGCTCAGTCGTCCGCCATCCTCGGGGTAAACCGGCCTCTGCTAAGTTTCGCCCGAAGAGGCGTCACCTGAGGAGGCCCTGAGTGGCTCGAGGGCCGCCGCATTAGCGAGCGCGTACCTGGGACCAGGTGTGGCGCCTCGGCCGCGCTGGGCCGCTTTCTTTCTTCTTCCCCGTCCTAAGGCCGGGTTCCTCCGCTTAGCATAGACTTCATGCCCAGGTCCCTTGCGTTCAGCGGGCTAGAGCGGTCAGGGCCTTGGTGGCTCCCGGAGAGCACGCAGAGGGACTCCAGCCGTGGGGTTTTCATAGGAGAGCATGAAATCCCCTGCAGTCCCAAAGATTCAAGAACACCCTTCAAGCACGTTCAACACGCCTGGGAAGTCTGCCTCATTGCCCTAGTCTGTGCTGCACTGCAAAAAACCC